CCTCACAGGCAACTGAGGCGATACGATACAAAGCACAGAATTTCTACTGAGGAAGACTCACTGGCATTGAAATGTAAACTTGATTATAACTGTCGGGCTGCAAACCACACTCTGCAAAATACTGTAAAACATCTCGTTTTCCATGGGCCTGACTTCCCTCAAAAGTTCCTTATCAAGAGTAGCAAACCTACATAGTGCAGCCCCGCAGCAGCATACGAATAAGGCGTATGCAAAAACGCCTCCAGTAACGAGCAATGTCGGAATAGTAGTAGTCGTAAACTGAAACCAGAGGAATGTGTAAAATATGCACATGGTGAAAAACTCTGAGAAAATTCTTGCTGATTTCTGTACACTCCTCCTATGATTAGGCATTGAGCTCAGCTGAGGAAAGCGAACATTTTTTCACCACTAAACTAGAGAGCAACTACTTCATGTAAGGATCAACACATTGATGAAAAGTGGTCAAACCGATCTGAGTGCGTTATCGCTGGAGTATAGTGACAAAATTGATACCACTCGCTCACAAATTCGTAGACCTCTCCAGAGATGTACGACTCTTCTTGAAAAATAATTCCGTCCGTAAAAAATCGTGAAATAAACTCATGTTGAAATAATGTTTGTTTTCTATTCCGGGATTAATGATAGTGAACAACTTGTCGCTATCATAGTCTCGAAAGGTTACTTTCATCACATCACATGTTCATAGCAATGTTTACGTTGTTTATGCGATATAGTTTCAGATCGATTCTTATTAATCTCGGAAAATAACACACATTTGCATCATATCAAATTGACACGTAACAACAAAGTTGAGGACAACAAAAATCGTCTATTACAATAATCAAATACTCCCCGAACCACCAAATGTTGGAATCTATGTTCGCTTCTCTCTATAGATAAAAACTCGCATGCGAGTTCGTGTAGAAACCAACAATAATTCCTCAAAATCTTCATATTGTCACCAACACATGTAGTCGACCATATGCAGTATTCAACACAATCGGCTGTCCCATTTGCGCTCTCCCACTATTCAGCTGTCCCCCTACTAAGCTGTAATTTCTCTACTAATACACCCAAAACTATTCTCTTCCTATCCTCATACATAATACGGATACCATCCGTGTTGAGTTAAAGATATTCCACATATGCGTATTTCCCCCCCACTGGAAACGACTCACCTCTCACCGTACTCAAGGCTTATATTCCCATCTCCCCCTTTCGCGAGAGGCTGCGAATTAGGAGGATCTTCACCATCATTCGCTGGGCTGAAACCCGAACCGAAACAATACTGTCAACTTCATAACAGAAAACTTCACCTTGCATGTTGTTGTTGTTGTGGTGGTAAGTTTTCTTCGGCACTGTCGAATTCTTGAGCGAACTGAAGTCAAACGACTTCGTAAAATTTCAAGGAAACAACCAATGTTGAAAATATATGTTCGCGTTCCTCAGCTCAGAAGAGTTTTCCTCACTAACTGTAAACATAAGTATGCAGAAACCCCAAAAAAATTCCCAAAATTTTCTCAGAATTCTCACATTGTCACCAACACGTGCATATTTTTGTATAACAAAAAACTTCCCCACCTGTTGATAAACTTCATGGCTCATTTCTCGATACAAAGCCGTACTTATGTATCCAGAATCTGATCGGAAACACAGTGTTGGAGTAGGAGTATATGTTTGCTTTCCTCAGCTACTGAGCTCAGGAGTGAACACAGTGTTGGAGTAGGAGTATATGTTTGCTTTCCTCAGCTACTGAGCTCAGGAGTGAACACAGTGTTGGAGTAGGAATATATGTTTGCTTTCCTCAGCTACTGAGCTCAGGAGTGAACACAGTGTTGGAGTAGGAATATATGTTTGCTTCCCTCAGCTACTGAGCTCAGGAGTGAACGCAGTGTTGGAGTAGGAATATATGTTTGCTTTCCTCAGCTGAGCTCAGAAGAGTTTCCAAAGCTACATAAAACTTAGCGAAAAAGTGTATAAAAAACCAACAAGAATTTCTTCCTCAGAATTTTCTATATGGTAGAATTCACTTCGAGAATATGAGCGCGTGAACTACTATTCCGATAACTTCACTATGAGAACATCACCAGTACAATAACAATGTTGGAGTAGGAATATATATGTCGACTTCCCTCAGCTGAGCTCAAAGGAGTTTCCTAACGAATTCGGGTAGAAATTTTCACAACCCGACGAGAATTCCCTTCGAATTTGTCACCAGTACATCTAGTTCACCATGTGCATATTTCACCACATTGCATAAGAATAATATAACAAAATTTCCAATAAGAAAACTATAACAAAATTTCTAATAAGAAAACTATAACAAGATTTCTAATAGGGAAACTATAACAAGATTTCATAGTTGCGGAGCGAGCGAAGCAAGCGGAGCATATACCGCAACAACAGGCACTTTCGCGTTGTGCGTGCGTGCAGAATTATTCTGGCTTAACTGCGAAGCGTGGGAGGCTATCAGATAGATCAAATGACTCCTCTATATGCCGGGGTGTAGGCAAAAGTTGGAAAGCTCCATTATACGAACAGCTCGGAAAGATATGCACGAAAAACTTTAACGATGGAGAAATGTCCTACCCGGGGATCGAACCGGGGACCTATGTAAAATTTGTTGATTGAGTCCATGGACGTGAACTCAGTGAGCTCCGCCCTTTCGTCACGAAGGCCTAGTAAGAAAACTATAACGAAATTTCCAATGAGAAAATTATAACAAAATTTCTAATAAGAAGATTATCGCTCACCAAGGTGTCCCGCTAGTGCCACACAAGCTGCCCATAACCCCGACAAGCCCCCATGCTGCTGAGCGGCAGCGATGCGATATCTAAATTGGAGTATTTCTCAGCGAATCTCAGAGAGAACTTACAAAACTATGGAAGCTGGAGTAGTCCTATAGTGTCCATCGTAGTATCTAGTAAGGACCAACATGAAAAATGAAGCTAGGCACCAGTTTTGGAGTAGGAATATATGTTTGCTCTCCTCAGCTACTGAGCTCAGGAGTGAACACAGTGTTGGAGTAGGAATATATGTTTGCTTTCCTCAGCTACTGAGCTCAGGAGTGAACACAGTGTTGGAGTAGGAATATATGTTTGCTTTCCTCAGCTGAGCTCAGGAGTGAACACAGTGCTGGAGTAGGAATATATGCTTGCTTTCCTCAGCTACTGAGCTCAGGAGTGAACACAGTGTTGGAGTAGGAATATATGTTTGCTTTCCTCAGCTACTGAGCTCAGGAGTGAACACAGTGTTGGAGTAGGAATATATGTTTGCTTTCCTCAGCTACTGAGCTCAGGAGTGAACACAGTGTTGGAGTAGGAATATATGTTTGCTTTCCTCAGCTACTGAGCTCAGGAGTGAAGACAGTGCTGGAGTAGGAATATATGTTTGCTTTCCTCAGCTACTGAGCTCAGGAGTGAACACAGTGTTGGAGTAGGAATATATGTTTGCTTTCCTCAGCTACTGAGCTCAGGAGTGAAGACAGTGCTGGAGTAGGAATATATGTCTGCTTTCCTCAGCTGAGCTTAGTAGTTTTCTCACAACATCGTGATAATATAAACACAAATTATTATATACAAGAAACAACAATAATTTCCTCTCAGATTTTTCATATTGTCACCAACACATGTAGTTGACCATGTGCGTATTTTTCCACACTGATTTTGTTACTTGTGAAATTTCACCCCTTTCCCTTAAAGTGGCGTAGTAAAAAACCTCTGTGAAAAACCCGATATTCGCGGTGATATACAGTAGTCGTGAAATATGTCTTTCACATCACTAAGGTGAAACTCCATTATAATATTCCCCTTACACGCCCTTCATCGCCTCCCTTTGATAGAGCAATTCAAGTCGTCGTTGCTTTGCATTAGGAGAATGTCCACTTCTACTCCGCGTTCGTTTTCGCGACTGTTGTCCTTCACAAAATGCAATATAAACATCTCACAAAACTCAGTTTTTCACTTTACCAAATTCGCTGTTAGCATCATCATCATCATCAGCCAGGAGCTCTCTCCGGTTTGGTGATCCATCACTCATAGAGCCGATATCAGAACCTAGAATTGTGAATTTGATATCATGCAAATGTGTGTGATTTTTTCCGATATATTACGACTATATCGCATAAACAATGTAAGCCTTGCTATGAACATGTGATGTGATGAAAGTAACCTTTCGAGACTATGACAGCGACAAGTTGTTCACTATCATTGAAGTTTCACTCGTGATATGAAAAAACAATTGTGTTATCGGTCGCGGAAACATTTACGTGGAGTATCACGTCACTTCACGTCAAATGGGTGAAATTCCACCAATTTCGGAATAAATAACGCATATACACACTATCGTTTGCTCACCTTCATCATCATCTTCATTAGGCTCGGGCGGAATGCCAGTGTTACCAAGCCTGAGGGGGGAAAATTATGGTAAAAAATCCTCAAAATTTTCCAAAAATTCTCTGTGATTCTATCGCTGATCCGATCGATATATGTAACCAACTTTCGCTGCTCGAGTTCACTCTAGTGATATGAAAAAAAACACTAGTGGGAAAAATATATTTTACGACTACTGCATATCACCGCGAATATCGAGTTTTTCACAGAGTATTACTTCGCGTAAAACGGGTTATGAAACTCCAATAAACCGACATCATTTTCGAAGTCACTCGATTACTTCGTGTTTTAATATCTAACCCTCATATACACAATATATTCCATTAGTGATATTATTGATAATTATATGATATTTAACCATTCCATGTCGGACGCACGGCACGAGCCGGTATGAAAGTCCTCAGGAACAAATCCTGAGGCAATCAATAGCTTTTGCATCCGTTTTGCTTACCATTATTTATATAATGTTAACAATTTATTACTATTAATCAATAATAAAGTTTCACCCGTTTTACGTAAAGTGGCGTAAAACTCCGAGAAAAACGTGGTATTTGCGCCTGGCAGTAGTCGTGAAATATGTTTTTCACTAGTGTTTTTCATATCACTAGGGTGAAACTCTAATATTATTTTTTATGTCATACGCTACTATAAATCACAATATCATTGGAGTTTCACCCGTAATATAAAATTCACTTCGTGAAAACCACAGTGAGCAACACATGCTCGTGTAATTCGCCAAACTTCATATCGCGTTATTCACACAGAGTACTACCCCACTTCACATAAAACTCCAACGATGTAAGTTTATCACCGGAAAAATTTCCCCACTTACCCCAAACGGTCATCATCGATGATTATAACACGATTTTGTTTCTCGTATATGTTGTTGAGGTGAATCGGCCTGA